GCATGCATACCATGCATGCTTTATATAACGCATGCAATGCATGCTGTTGGGTTTTCAGAGTATCGGAGGCGCAGCTCCGAGCTCGGGTCGCGGGACCGTCGGGGGACGGTTCGGCTCTGTAGCGCGCGGCGCGTTGATTCAAAATCGTCAAAGTACTTGAGATTTAGGAAAATGAACTTAAATAACCATGGACGCGGGTCTGGCTGCCCTCCCCCTCCCCCCCCCTCGAATGGTTCCCGAGTGTTCCGAGCGTCTTCCTGTTCTTTTGCCTCCGCGGGCCGGGAAGAGCAATTCAGTGAGCAATTATTTATCTAATTTTAGTAACGGTGTAAAACAGTATTCGTCTTCCCCCTGGCATGTAGGCAACCTGCGTCATTGCTGGACTTGTTTGCGTGCGTCTTTGCATGCAACCAGCCGGCTCGTGTACGAGCGCGAGTCCCCCACCCCACCAGGCTACCAGGCTGCCGCGCCAACGCGGTGCCACCGTGTCGGCGCGGCAGACTGGTAGCCTGGTGGGGTGGGGGACTCGCGCTCGTACACGAGCCGGCTGGTTGCATGCAAAGACGCACGCAAAAGAGACCAGCAACGACGCGGGTTGCCTGCATGCCAGGGGAAGACGAAGACTTTTTAGCAGATGATACATTATACACAACTGAAATTAATAATACTTTACTTAACTATGTATCATTGCTTGTACTCCCATGCCGAGCACTGAGAGGCACAAGGCATGACGTCCTCCAGAAGTGTGTGTAGGGGCGCGTGATGCGTCCCGTGATCTGCCACTGCAATATTGAAGACTGGAATCATTCTTGAATTCGTATCATCTGCTTTCACGATCCGTTCCTGAGCAGAACTTTTTTTTACACCGTTACTAAAATTATATAAATAATTGCTCTCTGAATTGCTCTACCCCGTAAATGGACGCGTCGCATGGTTTCAGCCCGAAAGGGGTTTTTTTTTTTTCGCGGTGTCCTGACTGTTTCATCTTCTTCATTTCCAGCCGTTTTGTTGTGTGGAATTCTTACTGGAGAGAGGCGGCATGGCGACCGTTCCAGTCCTTTGGGTGAAGAACAGGAGGTACATTAAGAAGAGCGAAGGAGTCAGTGCTGTGCGGGGGAAGTGCTACTGGCCTGCTTATCTTAAGAACGCACCTAAGAAGCTGAGAGGCTTCGTTTCTTCGCAGAAGAAGCCGGATACATCAACATGGACGACACACGATTGTGAGGTGTTGCATTATGCGTGTAAGTTTAGGTTTCCTCGCAGGTTTCACAACAGTCTTTTAAAGTTGGCATGAGATAGTCATTGATCACACGTTCTTGTTTCAGTCACCGTACAGGAGTGTGACGACTGGGTAAAGTCACATTCGGGAGTCGAAAATGAAGGAATGGAAAGTGACGCTTCGAGCGACCACCCCTATGCAAGGGAGAAACAGAAGAAGTTAAGGTTAAAGAGAAGGAATGGACCAGCCAGTAGCTCGGAAACATCAGACGACGAGCTGTTTGTGGCCGGGTTGGGCGACCTGCGGTCCAACCAGAAAGATTCGCTGAGTACTAATGCGGGTGCCGATGTTCTGGAGAATGTCAGTGACTCGGCATCGCACGGTTTTGAGCGGAGTCTGACTCTTGACTTGGACTCTGAAGCCATTGACGATGACACCCACGTAGTACTACTCTCTGAAATGGCGCCTGTTAGTCCGTTGAAAAGAAGCAACGGACAAAGTCCACGTAAGTCGCCTGAGAAGCGTAATGTGCAGAAGGCGACTGAAAAGCGGGGTGTCTCTACGCCAGACAAAGGGACAGCCAGGGCTACACCAGGGAAGGCCAGGGCTACACCAGAGAAGGCGACAGCCAGGGCGATCCCGATCAAGCGCCAAGTGCTACAGACTGGAGCCCATTTACCACCAGCGTCGGAAACTTCCAGTCCGCTGAAAGCGCAGAAAGGTGTCGGTGCATGTAACTCACCTGGGAAGCGTACCGTGCCACAGAAGACGACTGAGTGTCGAGGTGTCACAACACCCGAGAAGATGCCATCCAGGGTATCCAAGGGGTCTCCAAGCAAGCGTGACGCGGTGCAGACTGGTGAGAGAAGGACCCCATCTAAATTGTCTGGGAAAGAGAGAGGAACACCGAAGAAGTCTCAGAAGAGTGCTCCAACTCCCGAAATAAGTACAAAATCAGTGACTCCACAAAAGAGACAGGCGTCACCTACTTACCAAATGGAGTCTGGCAGCAGTTCGTTTAGCTGCAGTCAGAGTAAGAGACCGAAGCAGAGTCAGATCACCAAATTTGTGACGAGCTTCTCTGAGAAAGAGATTGCTCAACACTTGGACGAGGTGGACAGAGAGATTCTTGCGATGGAACTCAGCGATACGCCGGCTAGGAGTGCTTCTCCGGCCACGTCAGATACCAGTTTCGATACGCCGTTTAAGTTGCCTCTCAGGCGGAGTGCATTAAGTTCGGTAGCAAGTCCTTTTCTGGCCATGAGTCCTTCATTCCATGCAGGTATGTTTAAGGGTGATGGTGTGTAGCATTATCTGGCAGTCCCTTTCTCTGGCGATGAGACACCCCGCTTTATCAAAATTAAGCGCGTACTCGCCGTATGAGATTTTTGTTTTGTATTTCTCACGCCGCGTTTCTCTTTTGTTCCAGCTCTGAAGTCGATTGATGGCCAGATTAAAGAAATAGCCAGGCAGCTTCAAGCTCTGGACAAAATGGGCACCAATATCGGGAAGATAATGACATGTGTGCTGCCTCCGCTGGAGACGAATATAGCGGAGGACATCCCTGAGCTGCCTTTATCTGATAAGAATGGCGAAAAGGCAATGAACGAACTGCTTTTGAGAGACAAGGGCGAATTTAACAAAGTTGTAAGTATTCCTTAGTCTGGATAGTGCCATTGTACAGAGTGTTTGTGTGTGATTGGCCCTCTCATGAACTACGTATTATGTTCCCAGGTTACGTTCCTATACGGACTGGGGGGTACAAATGCAAAAGATGCGGTGTACTCTGTGCTAAAGACACTTTTCACTGATCAGTTTGCCTCTTCGAAGAGCATGAAGGGGATACGCAGGGCTGGCAAGCCGGCAAAGGACGCCTTTATGGGGACGCCCCTCTTTAAGGCTCTCATGTGTAAGTGTTATTTACTTTCATGTAGGGAACTGGCTGTTAGGCGTTTGCAAGTATGCAACTTGCAGTTGAACACTTAGTTCATTAGTGCGCTTTCATTTGCTTTGAGGCGGTATCAAATGTCAGTTTTAATGTATCTATAACGCTTAAAGAAAACCTGGGCTCGTCGTTCTTTTACATTCATTTTCCATGTCATATGTTGCAGGTGCTGTCCGGCGAAGATTTAAGGATACCACAGTAACCGATGTCATGGAACTCACTGGCAACTGGCTTAAGGATGCGCCAGGCAGGGAGAAGAAGAGGAGGAGCAGATGTGAAAGCAGGGAATCCCTCTTGCGGCAGTACGACGAATCATCGGATTAATGGAGACACAAAGGTACGACAATAACCTGTAAACTGTAGCCCAGATTTAGGTGTACATGTTGCTCATTGCGCCTGATGTGGTGTACAATAACTGTTACTTTCTGAGTTGCCGCAAAAGTCTCAATGAACCCCAAGTCTCACGCCCCCCCCCCCCGTTCTCCCTACTTCCAATGGCGAGTCGTGTACGCACTCACCATCACATATATTTATTTAAGTATGACCCTACTCTTCATGTACTCTCCGCCCGCGCTGACTTCTCCCCTCTTTCCCCATCTGAACTCCCTCTCCTGACAGCCTCGCTCCCCCTCTCTCAGGTGCAATGCTTTCGCCTCGCCACGAGGTGCGGGCCAATGACTCCCCCCAATCCCTCCCCTCTCTCCTACTTGCCAGCTAGTGTGCCGCCCCCCTAGACCTCCATTCCATCCATCACCAGGGAGGTAGGCCTTCTCTCTTCCTCCCGCACACGATGGGTGGCCTACCTCTTCGGCGTCTCCCCCACCCGTGTCGAGCCGCTGACACGGGTGGGGGAGACGCCCGAGAGGTAGGCCACCCATCGTGCGCGGGAGGAAGAGAGAAGGCCTACCTCCCTGGTGATTGATGGAATGGAGGTCTAGGGGGGCGGCACACTAGCTGGCAAGTAGGAGAGAGGGGAGGGATTGGGGGGAGTCATTGGCCCGCACCTCGTGGCGAGGCGAAAGCATTGCACCTGAGAGAGGGGGAGCGAGG